AACGAATAACAAAAATACTTTGTTTTCGCTTAGATATTTTTATTACAAATAATATATAAATAATGTTTTGGGGATATTCTGATGAATACATAACAATGACAGCAACAAACAATATTTTAAATACATTTCTATGTTTTTTTTTGTATTGTACTTGGCCTAATATCTGATATTAAGTTAAGCTTCGCAACGTTGCCACATCTTCGAACTCTAGTGATTCGTTTGATTGTGATAGCACTTATTTCATTTCACGAATTGAATTTTATCATAAAGTTTTACGTATAAGTTTATTGTAAATATTATTAATCTAGTCATGCTCACAAAGTTCGTGATTTATACGGTTATTATTATCTATTGTGCTATTTGAGATGTCCCAATATTTTATTACTTATACCTATTTTAATTTACCTAACATGAAAGTAAACATTCATAAAAACTATATGGATGATAAAATGAGACCAAACCACGTTAATATCTCTTTTATTTATAAACGATTGATATTAGTAAGTAAACAAAATGGCCGACTCCTGGTTTTTCCGAAAATTCCATTAAGTTTGACTGTTTAAATGTATCGTCCTGCATATTTTATGTTATTTGGAGTAGATAAATAAAATATTGTAATTTATTATCTATGTAGAATGTCATAAACTGAAATATAGTGCATTAATAACCTCAAATAAATAACAAATTGAGTTAAAAGTAAAACCTTCAAATAAAAAAATGATCTCTAAAACTTCCTTTTTGTCAAATTTTCACTTTTTTAAACGGCACCTATTGTTTGGGAAAAATGAAAATTTGGCAACACTGTTCATGCGTAGTTTGAACCGTAGATTCCAAATAACATAAAATATATTGGGTGATTAATTTAAAACACCGGAAGTCGTCCATTTTGTTTAAATTTAAGCGTTAATTCAAAACTGTGTCTAATATATTAGTTTCAAATTTTATCCAAATTGCTTGATAAATAAAAATGATATTAACGTGGCCCCAATCTAATTATCACCCGGTATAAACAATGTGATTTATTTATTTTTGCTTTTTTTGTACTTTTCACAACAAAACTAATAAAAACTGGATGAGTGTTAAAAATTTTGGGACATCTCGGCTGGTATCAAATAAATTATATAGTAAAAAATATAAACTTTAAAAAAAATATTCGATTAAATTTGTTGTCGTCTATTATATAGAAAATTATCATTAGATTTTTCTTGGTGCAATATGAATTATCAGTAGATGTGTAATTGCTTATAAAATAAATAATATCCACGCAATTTGTTTTATATTAAACACAATCCTGAACCTTATTCAACATATACTTGGCTAATTATTTATTTGAATTGTATGAATAGAGCACATAGAGTTAGAATCAAATCTACTTCTACCTGATGGATTTATGGCTAAACATGTAGATTGTAGACTGCGGTGTTATTAACTTTTACAATAATTTTATAAAACATTCTCAATTTTATCGTTGCTAAAATATACCTTATTTCTAGCAGGCCACCAAATGTCTATTAGTGAAGTTTTTTTCTAAATAATTCTTTGCGATAGTGGGCATTATGAGCTAGATACCCATCATGCATAAACCAAGTTTGATCCAAGTTCCCCCCGCATTATATGCTCTCCTAAGAGCTCAAGATTGGGGTTATGATTGACTCGAGACTTACCTGGAACCAGCATCTAGAAAGAACCACAAGGAGAGCGGAAACATCATTAATGATGGCAAGGCGATCCTTTGGAAAAAAATGGGGATTAAAACCAGACATGGTATACTGGCTTTATAACATGGTGGTGAGACCCATAATAACATACGCAGCTTTGGTGTGGTAGCCAAAGCACTAATAGGACTCCCACCTCTTCACTATGTGATACAAGGGGAGGCAAGATTAGGTGCTTACAGATTAGGGAATACACTGGGAAATCTTGACATTAGGCCAGGTCACATGAGTATCTCAAGGTTAGTGACAGGAGACGTGCTAGACATGAGATCAGACCACATAACCAAGAGGTACTCTTTTAATACTCCCTTTGAGGTTTTAATACAGGAAAGAGCGGAGATCACCATAAGGGAGCCCAATGCCCAACGACAGGAACAAAGCTGGTATGCAGACGGGTCTAAGACTGCGGAAGGCACTGGGGCAGGAGTATTCTCCAAAAACCCTGATACTAACCTTCAGGCCGAGGTATACGCAATTTTGCAATGTGCAAAAACGAACAATGAAAGAGCTGTCGAAAATCAGCATATTCAAATAATGTCAGACAGCCAAGCGGCACTTAAGGCCATATCGAGTCAGAAAGTTACGTCGAAGTTGGTATGGGAATGCATCGAAGAACTAAGAACACTGGCAGACCGAAATAGAGTAAAACTATTTTGGGTGCCAGGTCACAAAGGGATCGAAGGCAACGAAAAGGCTGACGAACTTGCAAAAAGAGGGTCAGAAGACACACCGGAACCAGACACAAACCCAGGAGTACCAAAAAGTACAGTCCGGGGTTTTATAAATGACTGGATTCGGGAACAACATATCAACTATTGGGGAAGCACCCCAAAACAGGCACATGGAAAAGCCTTCATAGGCAGACCATGTCCCAAAAGAACTGGAGAACTACTCTTAATGAATAGGAACCAGTTGAAAGTGATAACAGGGTTCATTACTGGGCACGCCCCAGTAAAGGGACACTTGAACAAAATTGGCATGTACAATGGGGAACTCATGTGCCGACTATGTCACAAGAAACCAGAAACGGCGAAACACATACTGTGCGAATGCGAAGCTCTAGATCGCAAAAGACAGGCTCTTTTTGGACAACCCCAGGTTGATCCAACAACGTATGGAACCCACTCACCCAAGGATCTGTACAAACTTGTACAAGGTACAAAGGTGATAGAGTGGGTGCTATAAACTAACATGGGGTAAAACACAATAAGCCAATAGGCTTCAGTGTTACTCGGAGACACATAGTCAGACGAGCACAGGAAAAAAAAAAAAGAGCTCAAGATATTATTCTGCATTTAAATTGAAATTAAAAAAAATGCTCCAATAAATTGGTTTCAATAATTTTATGTTTATATTTAAATCTCATTTTACCAAACATTAAATCCTAATGGTTGGATATTTCAAAATAATAACAACGCACACCAAATAATAACAAATTGAATAATAACACATTTTACCAAAAAGAACCAATTAACGAATTCAAAATGAACTCCCCTCAATTGGAGAAGCAGAGAAGTACCTCCTAAAATACCTGTTAATTAAAAAACATCATTTTTTTTAAAACTATATGAGGACCAAGTACCTGTTTAAAATAGCACCAATTTCCCTATTATTGAAGCTTTGGACAGAGCTCTGACTTTTCATTCGGATCTTAAAATATCTAACATTCTCCCAGGTTTCTCTCACAACTTTAAGTAACAAATAATAGACATACCCTTAAACCTATTAGGATTAAATAAAAAGTATGTCAGCAATCAGCCACAATTTGCACAAAAAATTGCCCAATGTCTAAATCTTTTTCAGACCGATGGTTCTAACATATTTAGCAAAATAAATGTGGGAATTGCAAACCTATAAAGCATTTGTACTGTTAAGATGTTAGGCATAATGATTGCCATCAACAAATTCTTAAAACAATACATCCCAAAATTCATTAATAATTATCATATTCATTGGGTGCTTTACAGAAAATAGAGCAAAGAGAAATAAGAGTATCCTCAGATGATGTACAGCTGAGCATAAGAAAGAGAGAGAAAGAGAGAGAGAGAGGCTATACTAGATGTAAGGAAACGAGGTATTCTTATCGAATTGCGATGGATTCAAGGCGACACTGGAGTGTGGAGTTACGAGTGTGCAGATGCTTTGGCTAAGGACGGCATAAACAAAGAGGTGAAATACAGATATTTGTTCGATAAAGATAAAGAGGATATTAGAAAAAGCTTGGAACAGTGAAGCAAAAACTGATTCGCCAAGAGCTTTAACCCTGAACAGATTACGATTAGGGCATTGCTGGACACAAAAACATCTCCAACTCCAACAAATTAGCGGATTCTGATAGCCCCATGATATGGAGATGCTTCCGTACTTGGCAATGACCAGTCAGAATTCCTGTGACCAGACGCAGATTATGTCTAGTCATAGTCAAGTACTTGTTTGCTGCAGTGTTGTCAGGATAACTTAAGAGCTCCCTGGCAACTCTGCAGTTTCTTGTTTCATCCCATCTTTCCTTGAATTTCATAAGGGAATATTCTTTAATTAGGTCTGTCACTACCGATTTTGTCAGGCCAATAGAAGGGCCAGGTCCAAAAAGTATTTGGTTGGCTGCTTTTTTGGCTAGTGAAACGGCAAGACGGTTACCTTTCGATGTGGCGTGACCTTTGATCCATCTTAACGTGACCACATTGTTGATGAATACTTCGGCCAAAGCTTCATGACATTCTAGTACTAACCCTGAATAAATTCGTGGTCTGTTCAGGGTGAGTAGTGCTTGTCTGCTATATCTGTATAGATGAGCATGTTCCTTCCATCCTTCCAGTAATATTATTTCTGGTTATTTCTTTTGCTGCTATGAGAATCCCCGTTAGCTCTATTTGAACTACACTGGCACTATTGCTCACCGCCCATTTTATGTTTAGTATTGCTCGTAATCTACAAATACCTATGGTCAAAGACGAAATTAAAAATTTTATTGAAAGCTACACGAAAAGACTTGAGTCTCGCCCTAACAAACTTGTATCTTCTAGATTCTAAAATTTTCTTTAATAAAAATTTCTAGTAATAATTATACGAGCAGCTGTTGATAAAAATGACCTGGATAGAAGGTATGAACAAAAAAAAAACAGTTCACATGGCCACCCTTTGAAGTTCCTTTATTGAAATCTCCAAAATTTTGAGATACTAAATTGTTCACCTATATGAAATAAAAAACTATAAAATCAAATAAAAATAGTTTAATTAAATTTACATTAACAAATTTTAGAGTACATAGTACTAAATAATAACACTGTACGGACTAGATTTAGTTAACCATATCCATTTGGTAATAATATCAATAATCAAAAAAAAAATTAATCAAAAAAGTTAAACTTTAACACAATTTTCCAAAAACAACATTCATTCACTGTCGATCTTTGGTTAAAATAAATAATTTCAAATAGCACCAAACGTTCTGAGATAATAAAATAATTTTAAATGCTGCATTCATCACGTATTGCTCACAGATACCTCACTAGAATGTACTGAAGCTTCGTCAGTATTGTCTCTACTTATTTCACTAGCTTCAGTAATACTTGCTCTTCCCTGTTGGTCTTCAGCGATATTCCCAGGTAGATAATCCTTCCAGGACCTAAATAAATACCTAGTGAACTTTCTGAGCTGTCTGAACTTGCAATATGTAGCTCCTTCAGCACTTTCAGTCTGCTGAGTTTGAATTAGAAACCCCTTTTCCTTAAAAGTCTGTTCTAGCTTCTCCCTCTGTAAGCTTTTCCTTGATTTTCTTTTCTTCATCCTTTGGTGATCCTGACTAGAGGATTGAGCTGGGGAGAAGGTAACTGCTGGGATTTCTGGGCTTAGAAGAAATTCTGAACTGGTTTTTGCTCCTGTAAAGTCAGTTGGAGGATTTGGGTATATTTTTTCTCCGCTTGCTTGGAGGAAGGCTCCTGTTGAGGATCCGTGAGAGTTGTTAATTTGCTGCTGAAGAGTTTCTCGAGGAAAGAATTCATAACCCCTCATGGATTTGTCGCCAGTGCCGCTGTAATATCTGGAAAGAAATTAAGGTTAATATATCAGAGAATTACAGATACAGTGAGCAGCTTGAGGTTGATGCACGAATGCAAGTGGTGTCAAAGATATGGACATAATAAAAAAATTTAAAATAGGCAACCAGAATGTGTTAAATGTGTAAAAACCTGTACATCCAGTAAACTGTAGAAGATAGACTGTTAAGCAAAACTACCCACAATAGAAATAATATATACCCAAACCGGACATTTTATTTTTATTAATGCACAAATAATGGCAAATATGACATATTCAAACGTGGCCAGCAATAATAGACTAAAAACAAACTTTAGAAAAACCAAATGATGACTATGCTCAATATAATTCTTGACAGAATTACCAGACATTTTTAATGAAGCATGAAGACAATCATCGAAATATAAAATTCCGATGGACTCCTTGACCATCGAGAAGAACTACAAGTGTTCGTAATGAAATAAAATGTAGATATCTGTCTAAAATCAGAAATGATATGTTCAATATATAGGATATAAAAACTATATATCCATGGGATAACGCTGGAAGAGGAAGCGCTTTAATAATAAAAATTGGAAAATCTTATCTTGGGAGGTGATTTTAATGTTAAAAATATCATCTGGGGCATGATTTTTATAACAAACAAAGGCAGGGAATTGCATGCAGCAGCAAATGAAATTGGATACCTGACTTACTGGACTTCTACATCACTAGAAAACAAAAATTTTGGCTTAGACTTGGATCATTCTTGGCAGTAATGATAATAATTGTACAAAAAGAAATAAGAACTGCACAGTGTAATGCAAATACCGACTGGGTAAGTTTCAAAGCTGAATTAAGCAGAGGTACTTCAAAGAAGTGTTCTAAGGCCAGTTCTTCAGCTTTTTTTACCTTTGACATACTACAGAATACAAAATATGAAGACACAGCCATACTTATCATTGGTAAAACCAAAATTAAATTCAGAATACAGTCTAAATAGTTAATTTACTTATTAAAACAATATTATTTACCTAAAGTTACCACCTGAATCAACAGATAGCATTTTCTTTTCCTGCAGACTTGGTTTTGCTCCTCCCGTAAACTTAAATTTACATATACTGACTTCTGTAGCAGGATTTGCGTTGTTCTCTGGAGGTATGGGAGGAATGAATATCGCAGACCTTTTCCGTTTAGTTGGAGATTTGTGATTGTCCGAATTAGTTGCGTTTCGTTTCTTAATATCTTGAGCTTGTGGGGATGGAGTGGTTTCTTGTCTATTTTCTAGAAATAAAAAAAGAAGTTATAATTGGTTATATTTCGTCCAAAGGTCAGTACATAAGATTAAATAGAAAGTCAGTTTGGATTCACATCAGGAAAGGTCTAAATTAAGAGAGATTATACGTTTATAAAAGTTACTGGAAATTACTGGAGAGTTGTTTCAGATGAAGAGTTAGAGATTTGGAATCAGTAAAGATTACAGAATAATACACTTTGTGCCAAAATACAACATCTTAACGTATTTGAGGTCTACTTTACAAAAGTATGGAGTTATGGATGAAGACGTAGCCACATTAATGAAAGAATACTAGCAAAACATTCAAGATGCTTGGATAGGGATTTTGTTTTGATGAATAAGTCCAAACAAAAATTAGGAATTCTTGTAGAAACTTAAGGAATTACGCCAATAGGCAATTGCGATAGTGTTATATGTTGATGGAAGAAGTAAGAGGGGCATTTCTAGTGTATGGTAGTCTCACTGGTAGCTTAGGTATAAAAAAAAAGAAGTTTAACTTTAAAATAGCCCACAATAAAACAACGTTGATGAGATTACTACTTATATATGGCCGATACCTATCACTAAGCAAACAAATTTAGCTGACGAAGACAATTGACTAACTAAATAACTCCAAAATTTATGTATTTTATACCTTTTGGAGAGGTTGGTTTCGGTTTAACAGATTTCGGTACCAACTTCCTCAATTCGGTAGCACCATGATCTTTGGTACTACCAGGACTGGATTCAGGCGGTGGTTTCGGACTCTGGGTATTGGGTAGTACGTAGTTATTTCCCGCAGCCATTCTTTGGTACATCATCAACTGCTGCTGTAGCGCTACTGGATGGATGAAAACTCCTGCGTTAGACCAATAAACGTAACCTCCAGGACCTGTGGTGCCTTCGGCTGTTTTTAAAGGATCTAGACCTAGAAAACAAGATGTACAACTTTTTATTAAATATTGACTTTATATATATATACATTTTCTTACCTTCTGGAGAAATTACAGGAAACTTCAGGTCTCCTTTTGGAGTACTTGGACTAGGAGAATCTTGAATTAACTCTACGTCATCGTCAGATTGAGGTTCCAACTTTATTTCAGAGGTATAAGTGTTGTCATTTTTCTTTAACAGTCTTATTTTTAAGTGGTTGAGGTCTCTTATACAGAGATTTAGAGGTTCTTCTTGATTCTTTTTTACCTAAAATAAAACTGACTGTTAACTATAATATAACTAGTACCCAGCATGAAATTCAAAGTAGTTTATATGCCTAAATAATGCAGCGTATTCATAAAAATAATTTCAGAAACAGGCAAAGTAAGAATTGCTAGACTTGGTGGTAAGTTTACTAATAAAACATCATCTCTTTGTCAGTTTTATAATAAACTGAGACAACACTGATAAAACTGGCTTAAGATTTACCAGATACTACATATACCTTGACAACAAAATAAGTAATAGTTGATAACTGCGGGACAAATGCTACTTCTATTGGTTGGTATTCTAACTACTGGTTTTTTAGTTATCTCCATAAAATGATGGTAGCTGGCATCCTCTTTGTAAGGGATGAGAACAAAAAGATGAAAGTATCAAGCATATTCTTTAGGAACGACCAATATTTTCTATTTAAGATACAGCTTGTGCATTTTTCATTTGTTAAAGTTTTTGACTTACCTTATTTTTATCATTTTGACTAATCTTGGCATCTTTGCTTCTGTTATATTCTTGAGTCAGTCTTTTCTCTAGCAAACTAGAAATTATCCTATGTTGAACATCACTTCTGTTAAAATCATTATCTTTATTTTCCAACAAATCTGATTTCTTAAAAATATTGCTATCTTTCTCCAAATAATTTCCGGGATTTGGTGTACCAGGAAAAATCGTTCCGTAATTTTTGTAAATAAGATGGCAAATGTCTGCCTTTTTTGGTTTCCTACCTCGCCTTGGTTTTGAGTTGTCTAATGTCATTTCACCCATATAAGGTAGGTCTTGGTATTTCACTACCCTGGTGGGGTTAGGAGAAGTGCTTGTTGATGCAGTTAAAAGAGGAGTAGCATTATTTATAAGCTATAAGAACAAATATTATTAAACTTTGTTAAAAATATAATCTTGATTTATCCTTACCGAACTAATAGGCAACTGAATATTCCCTCCAAGTCCGCTAAGATATTTCTTTTGCATTTCATTTTGGGCCTCTGTTATTCTATGTAACCAACTTTTGATGGAATCGTTGGGATTTTGCGTTGGAATTGTGCTAAATAGATTTGGATCGCCATCTTTAGGTGACGGTGTACTCTCGAAGTCTTCTTCGTCGGAAGATTCTTGACTAGTGACTTCTACTTTTTCTATATCGTCATCTAGGTTTATACCTTTGTATCTTGTAGTCTCTACCTCAGCACTAAAGAACAAATATTTTTTTAGTTGTCTAGATATATAATGCAAAGACCTTGCAAAGAGAAGACAATAATTTTTTAGTGCCTTGTATGTGTTTTTGACAGTTCTGATCATGAATCTGAGCTTTGCTATCTTTAATTTTTCCAAGAAAAAGTTATAGGCAAAAAACAGATACAAAACTTTGTTTTTTTTTTAATAACACGCAAGCTGTGCGGTTTGGGACAATATTTTTCCTCTAGAAATATCTAATGTGTTGAATACATAACTCTTCAATAAATTAAAAAGTTCCATGGTCAAATATGAAGCGGAATCTCGTCAATACTGCATACGAAAATTATTTCGTAATAAACTTTAGGAAATTTTAAATATTTAATTTTTGTATATAAATGTTATAGAAAAAGACAGCTTAGGAGTTATTATGAAAAACAAACAAAATCATCCTTTTTTTAGTTTTTTTTTTGTTTATAATTTATAGAGACAAAATTATTTGAAACCAATAAATGAAAATTGAATTCTTGGTTATGTATTCCAGCATACTATTTTTCCATTTTTTATCTTACCTTGCCTCGTCTATTATTGGTTCGTCTTTAATTTTGGAATGATTAAGGTCTTTAAAAGTCATTTCACTAGGTATAAGATCAGCTTCTTTACACATTACCACCCCTTCTACTTCATCTGCTTGCATTGTTGCTTTTGCTGAAATAAAAAACGTTTTTATTGCAAAAAAATTGTAAATTCATCATTAGTTGGTTATACTGTATAATTAAAACAATTAAATTTTTTGTTTTTAATTGTCTATTATGTTTACCAAACAGTTTACTAAACAGTTTACCAAACAGTTTACCAAACAGTTTACCACACATTTTACCAAACAGTTTACCAAACAGTTTACCAAACAGTTTACCAAACAGTTTACCAAACAGTTTACCAAACAGTTTACCAAACAGTTTACCAAACAGTTTACCAAACAGTTTACCAAACAGTTTACCAGTTTACCAAACAGTTTACCAAACAGTTTACCAAACAGTTTACCAAACAGTTTACCAAACAGTTTACCAAACAGTTTACCAAACAGTTTACCAAACAGTTTACCAATCAGTTTACCAAACAGTTTAATAATTTAGACATTTTAATTTGAATTTTTCAAACAAATTATGTTCCAAAATATTTATTTTTAAAAATTTGAATCATAGTCAAATTATTTTACATTTCTATATATCTTAGGAATAAATAAATGTCAAATTTCTGATACATTTATTTTAAAATAATTCGCTGAAGGACTACAACCATGGTGCGCATTAACAAAAAATACTCATTGGCCAGTGCGATCCTGAAACTATTTAAAAAGTAGAATAAAATGTGTTGGCTTGTTTTGACGCTGTTTACTCATGTAATCGTAAGTTGTAATATGTAAAAATTTAGAAGGCATTACTAACATAGTTCGGGAAGTCAATCATAGCTGCCTAAAAATAGGTTTTGAATAGGAGCGCAGTCAACAATTTCGCGAAAATTGACCTAAATAAACACATATTTAAAAATCAGTTAAATTTTTATATATTTACATTAAAATATTTATACATATTATATAAAAAAAATATTGGAAAATTATATATATTTTGACTTTAATCACACTAATGTCACAAGGCTATACAGTAGCAAGATTTAGTGAAATAACAAGAAGAAAAGATAAAAAAAAATAAAAGAATGAGAATTTAAATGAGAGAAAAAGAAGACTAGAAGAAACCAAAAATAAAGCAATTGAAAAAATACAAAATTATACACCTAATAAAAATGAATAAGCAACACCTGATTTTTGCCTTTTCTTTTCAAGTAATAGTAATAGGATTAATTGGCATTATAACTCATATATTAGTAAAAAAAAAACTTTAGATGACCTGCAGACTGATCCATCCATCAATATATGCCATTTGTAGTAGAGATAATATTTCATTATACAAAATTGGGACAGTTAACATTTTATGTAATATATACACATAATCTAAAACTATATTGATTAAGTCCATAGAATAACGAATAAAATAGAAAAAAAAAAAACACAAAGAAAAAAAGATCTGCACCTCATTTTTTCTGGATGTAGCTTAGGCATTCAATAAAGTATAGTTAGACGGCCTTGGACATAATCTTCCGAGTAAAACAAGGAGACTATTTCAGGCTTAAAGAAACTAAAGCAGTGGTACCTTAAGGAAGTGTTCTGGGACCAGTTTTTTACCTGTTGTTTACCACATAAACGGGTATTTACAGAACTAAAACCATTAGTACTAAACAACATGGTTATTTCATTTGTCACAAAAGCCTAATACCTAGGAGTCATATTCGACCAAAGGCTGACGTGGAATCAACATTTTAAAAATTTGGCATACAAAGCTACAATAGCTCTCGTAGGCTATAGAAGAATATGTGGGAAAAACTGGGGTCTAAGGCACAAAATGACCATATGGCTATACACAAGGGTAATAAGACTCATGATAATCTATGGCGCAGTGGCGTGAGTAACCAAAACGGCGCAACTGCAATAGGGCAACTTATCGGCATTTAGCGGCTCGCTTGTCTCAGTGCCTCTGGGGCCATGCGTTTTACGCCAACTGCAGCAACGAAGGTACTATCTCTTACGCCACTGCACATCTTCATACAAGGAGAAACCAGGTATGTTATTCATAGGCTAATGCAGGAACAAACGCAATAAGCCAACTACATAGCGCCGACTATACAAGGTAAGCAAGTAGAAAAGGATAAGATTCTTGGAATGCCTACTGATATAGCCATAACCACATACAAATTTGAAACAAACTTTCAAATTCAAATACCTGCCAGAGAATCCTGGAAACAGGGACCTCCTGTACAAGCTGAACTCGTCTAGTATACAGACGGTGCAAAATCCAGAAACCGGTGCTAAAATCTATGGACCCAAGTCGAAAATGATTTCGCTGAGTCTAGGAGAATATGCAACAGTGTTTCAGGGTGAACTAATACCCATACAACATTGTGAATGGGAAATATTAAATTAGCAAGTATCAGGCAAAACTATTGCCATCTACTCTAATAGCCAAGAAGCTCTAAAGGCAATTCTCTCACCAGAAATCAAATCACGACTAATGAAGGACTGTCTAGAAGACCTTGCGGAGCTATGTAGTCAAAAAAGGTGGCCTTAGTCTGGGTATCAGGCCACGAGGGATATCAGGGCAACGAAGAGTTCGACGAATTACTACGAGAAGGCTTAGATAAGGCCATGATAGGTCCCGTGGTCATGTGGAGTTGCTAGGTCATTGTGCAAGGTAACCATCAGACAGTGGATGGAAAACGAGTCTCAGGAATGGTGGATCAACTATTTAAGACTGAGACACGTCAAACATTTCATCAAAGAATCATCGGTAAAATTAAGGAATGACCTACTGGATCAAATACGTCAAATTGTTAGGATAACAGTAGCTCTTCGTACCGGACACTGTCGCCTAAGAAGGCACATGTGCCAATGTGAGGGCCTGGCTAGATTGAGGCTTCTAAAATTGGGCGAAGAAAAGCCAAATGCATGCAACTACATGCGAGAGTCACTGTCAAAGAGACTAAGTCTAATAAAAAAGACCAAGCTAGACGACATACTTTAAAAAAACGAAGTCCCACAAGATTGCGGTGGACAAGGACAAACAACGTCCAACTCCTTTTTAATATAATTTAATCTAGATATAAAATTAAAGTGGAAAACTGGAAGAGATGGGTATTAAATATAGATAATTATACTGGTTGATAAATAGAAAATCAAAACTTTCAATCGAAAATAAACTTTTAAATATATTAGCACGTATTGAAATCGGTATGGACTTATGGTATACAGCTTCTGGGGTGTGCCAGTAAAAATAACAAATATAATGCAACGTTCCCAGAACAAAATATTAAGGGCAATAGTTAACGTTCCTTGGTATGTTAAGAAGAGAGAAAAACAAACATAAAAAAGATTAAAGGTCTACAGTTCCTAGACAACCGATACCTAATGGGAAGGCTCAAAAGGACCAAACCATTTGAATTAGTGATGTGCAATTATGTAAAAGCAAAGCACAGTGAGCGTGTGGAGTGTATAGTCCATTAAAACAGAAAGAAGAATTATCGGGTGGCACTCGCCTTTCCTCAAACACGTGGGGTTTAGCGACTGTAGCACAGGTAAATTTAGGTATTTCTTTATAAAAAAACGAAGGACCAGGATCAACAGAACTTAATAGTTTAAATGAATTGCTTAAAAATGCAATGGAATGCGTGAAATTACTTTTATTCTATTTGATTTTTTTATGACTTTTTTGTGACATTTTTCCTTAATATGTTTTTTTATATTTTTAAAAAGAAGGTTTAACCTAGTAAATTGTAAGAAATCTATTAGGGAATAAAATGAATCACAATTAAATCTTACTTGTTATGATTGTAAGTTTATTTAGTAGTCTAAGTTGTAAACATGCAATGACTGATGACATATTTGACATAAGTCAACAGTCGTGTCATGTAGGTTTGGCGGTACAGGACCGTCTGTCCTTGCTCATTTATTAAAAACTGTTTTGTTCAGCGTTCCAATATAGTTTATCATCAAATAAAAGGCATCCTTTATTAAATACACAACATAAGTATTAGGCTATTTTGGGACCAAAGAGTTTGGGACCAAACAAAGAAGATACTAAGAAAAAGGTGCCCAAAGTGTTAAACGAAACCTTCATGGAGGGCGACCAGAACACCAAATTCAACCGTCTAATAGAAGAGGCTCAAACCACCATGGTGACCATAGATGGGACCTCATCACTCACATAAACTTAACCCTACAAATCGGTCACAACTCTCTCTTCTGTCTCAAAATTCTACAAATTAACGTCGGTAGAGCCTCAAGGGCGCATGATGTATCAATTGCCGCTGCAGCAAGATCTAACTAGGGATGTTGCGATATCAGTAAAGTACTGATACCAGTAAACTATCGATACCGATATTGAAAAGAGTTTCGGAACCAAAGTATGATACCGGTATCGAAAGGGTATCGGAACCAAAGTATCTTTTATACTGATATCGGGAAGAGTAAGAGTGTAGAACAACCAAAAATAAAGGCCATAAGGGTACTCCGACATACCATACCATAAAGTGATCCTATCAAGTAAAATATTGAAACGAAAGTAGTAGTAATATCGATATGGATAAAGTATCGGATACTAAATTACCCGGTATCGAATGAAAAGTATCGATACCAGTATCATTTCAGTAGTATCGCAATATCCCTAGATTCAACATGGATCTAGTAATGTACCAAGAGCTAACTAAAAACATTGTCCAAAACGGGTGTCCTTGCGAACGCAGGGCAGGATATCGCCATCCTTGTAAGGAACAAGGAAGTTGGCGTCTGGAAACACGAGAGCGGTATCGAATTTTAAAAGCCTCAAAATTACTTAAGTTTATAAAAAAGATGAATTGCTGGTTGGATGAAATCTATTATCTTTGGCTGAAGTATTCGCTCCGCGCGCGACAGCAGCGCCAATTCATTTTGGTACTAATGGACTATTTCTGCGTATACTGACAAATACATTTTTTAATTGAATTCGTAATTAAAAAGTGTATATGTTAGTTTTAATAAAAGTATATGGATTTGTAAAACAAGTGAAACATTATTATTATTATTATATATTTTTATCGCTTAAATTAAAGAAACTTATGTTTAATCAATAAAAATCAATAATAAAATATAGGCAGGCAACCGTATTTACTGGAAAATTCATGAGAAGAATTAGCCTATTCTGTTAAAATAAAAAAATACCATTTAATAATAGCGTGAAGTTAAAATGTATGAAAAAAGGATCGTTATTTATATTTTCATTTTTATTCGAAAGAAAACATAGAATGAATGATTAATACTGTTTTCCCATCAGTAAGTCACAAAATTGCGTTCCAGCCACATATAATAATCAAAGGCAGAAATCTTGAAATCTAGTCCTTGCTGATTGAACATTTAAGAAAAAACCTTTCAAGTTTCTGATGTCTACTATTTCCAGCATTACTGTTATTATTACAAAAATATAGGTAATTTTTCTTCTTATTTCTTTGATTTAATTTCCACTTTGCTACTGAAATTTTTTATATAAGTTTCACTGTTTTTTTTGCTAGTATTTGTACAATTTTCAACACAGCAAATCCGGTTGCTTATTGTATTGTTTTTACCTACTTTTTAAAAAAAAAATTAAATGTATACGTGTATTTGATATTCCAAAATTACAAAATATCGCCCTAAAATGCACGAATTATCCGCAGCTAGCGCTAGTATCGCTTTTGCTTCCCTTTCCATAACTTCGCACGGAGCGAATAGCTAAGTGCAATGCAAACTAAAAAAACTTCTATCATATGTAATAAAAATAAAAATAGGTGGTTTGTTTCAAAAATATATTTAAAAACTTTCCCTTTGGATAATAAATCTTCCAGTGAATAATATCAAATATCGGAGAGACGTGTTAATTTTATTTTCAAAAGGGATACTTTATTAGCCTCCATAGTTTAAAACCTAGGAGGAGTACATGTTACCCTTAAAAACCTAAATGAGAAGGGGTCAAGTAACAGTTCATTTGGAAGGTTATTTTATGAATTATTTAAAAATATGACTATTAATTGCGTTGCTCTTGATTTTAGCGCCTTCTAGCGGGATAAAAAACTGTTACGTATTGTAAAATGTGACACTTCATGTGAAAGCTAATATTATTGGTAATTTAATTTGTTATTTTTAAGCGCTTTCAAAAAGGAGGAGGTTCTCAATTCGTCGGTATATATATTTTTTTATGTATGTTAAGCGATAATTCTTAAACACGGTGTCCAATTTCAATGAATCTTTTTTTGTCAAAATTTATTAATTGGGTCCATGAGAAAATACTCAAACTCTTCATTTTTACTTTCCGATTTGTATACAGATAAGGAAAGTAAAGAATCATGATTTTTTCGACCTCGATTTTTACGTTTTGGGATCCTCTGAGTCCGTTTTGACTATTTTCGCGATGAGGTCTGTGTGTGTGTGTTTGTGTGTGTCTGTGACTGTATCCACGATAAATCATGAACGCATACAAAGAAAAACACCAAAATTTAAACTTAAGCTTTATTCCGGCCTGCGGTGAATAGATTCGATTTTGGGCAAAGTCGGAACATTTGGGGGTGGTACTTTACAGAGGATCGTTTTTATATTTTATGGAATATATTAGTTATTTTTGTTTGGAGAAGAAAATTGTTTATATAAAAGTTACTGCTTATTATTCTCTATCATTTTTGTTTTATAAAACTTTTTCCTAAAATGGTCCGTATTCGAGAAAATTTACAAAATGTAAAATTTCACATTTTTAAGAAAATTGTTCAAATAAAACTTATTTGTGATTCTTTTTTGTTAGTAAGGGATGGTGCCTCAGGGGTGGTCCCATATAGATTTGGTCAAAATTTAATAATTGGGTCCATGAGAAAAACCCCAAACTCTTTTGTTTTTATGTATATTTAGCGATAATTGTTTACCACCTTGTCCGATTTCCATGATTCTTTTTTTGTTAGTAAGGGGGTACCTTAGGAGTGGTCTCATATAAATTTGGTTAAGATGTGGCAATGGCATCTGCACGATTTTAAAGTCGGTTTTTTAAAATTGCTTTTAAAAAAAATTGATACCGATTAAAGTTTGTATTTCTAAATGTTACAGATCTGCATGTTTTTTAAATTATTTAGGTTCATGTTTCATTAAATTATGTTTTTTTATGTATTGAGATTTAAATTACTAATAAAATTAGTTTTAAAATCATGTGTTACAATTTAAAATACGTAATAATTTATTTATCCCACTAGAGGGCGTTTAAATCAAAAGTAACGCAATGAAACGCAACGGAATTCTCTATCAAATTTCCTTTAAAATGATGTGCCACTTGACTCCCCTTCCTATTTAAGATCGTAAGGTAATATCTACCCCAGCCCTCCTAGGAATAAAAATATACATTGAAAATGTTTCCCTTGTAAATAAAAATTTCTCAAAGTCTTCAAAATTTATGTGGTAAACCAACATAGGAAACGCTTGGCTGGATAACCAAAATATTTGTAAACTTCACTTTCATTTACGTCGTATATTTTAAAAGAATTTTAAATTTATTTTGAAAATTTAAGACGTAGAAATCATTTTTAGAGAACGCCTGTTTGATAATACAAACCTAGATAAGGTAATTTAGCTAAAATTTAATAATTCAGAGTTTAAAATAAAAAAAAATGATCCATTTACTCAAGATATATAAAGTTGTGTATAAAAGAATAACTCAAAAATAATTTATATAGTATATTGAAAATATATTCAAAAGTTATAATGTTTCAGAGATATTTTGAAAAAATTTCAAAAATCTATATATTTTCATGATTTTTCCTTATTCCCCAAAATGGCAGTACTTAAAAATACAATATAAATTATTATTAGGTTTTTAATTTGATGCAACTAGACACTAAATATATTAAGTAAACATTCAAACTCACTTTCACTTATGTCATCAAGCATTTTGGCAGGAATAAATGCTCCAAAAATTCAATTAAAAAAATATTTAATCCTTTCACTAATGCACATTATTATCACCCACATAAGAACCGATCAAAAAAAAAACTCCCGCATTCACTTCGTAAGATTCATGTCGAAAAAGATTTGAAAAGATTTGCACATGAGTCGTTCGGTTTCCCGTGTAAGGCGTCCGCCGGTTTATTTCTGGCGTCGGGACGCCTTTCCCCACCGTTATTCGGTATATTCTGAAAATGGCCGTGCTGTAACCCGACCTAGTGCCTTATTAGGAACTGCGCGGGCCTTTTCGGGGTTTATTAATAAACCTGTTCTTATATTGCTCAAGTCGAGCTTATGGAGCTCGTTGCGTTTTGGCGGACAGAGGCGGAGCTGAGGGCACATTTTGTACAAATATTGTTATTCGTTATGAATTTATTTTAGTAAATAATTTGGAACTAATTAGTGCCAAGATTAATTAGAATTAGAAAAAAAAATAAATACAGTGGAAATAAAAACGTTTGCTTAAACAATACAGTGTTAGTCATAAATATTGGAAAATATTAATGAGTTGAAGTGAAACACGAATTTAAACATGAAGATTATATACAGGGTGATCCTATTCCCATTAACGCATGACGTGAAATTTGAACAGTAAGGAATGACCCAAGGAAGAAGAGATATGTAGTGCTGATGTACAACATCATGGGGGTTGGTGCTACCCCTCCTCGAGGGTGGAAATTATTAAGCTCGAAAAAACTACAAACGTCGATAGATGCAAATATTTTAAGAAACAACAAATATGAAGTTTTTACCACAAATAAATATTTTTAGACTTATTTGCGATGTTCATTCGAAAAAATGCACGTTTTACAGTGACTTTTCACGAATAACTCAAAACCCTTACATTTTACATGAAAACAAAACTTATGAGGGTTGATCTGTATAATGCACCTTGTATATAATGATTATTTTTAAACATTATAAATATTTTACATTAATTAGCAAACTTTTTGTTATTATATGTATTTGAATATTAAGTTGTAGTAAAGATTTATATGCATTAACCTTTGCTAAGAAAGAAAGACATTAGCAGTATATTATCCTTTCACATTTACCATATTTGGAAGACAGATTAAGTGTTGTACCATCGGTTTATTACAAAGAAATGGCAAAACAAGTCTTAACTAAACACGTTTATTGATATTAGAACTTTTCATAATCATAAATAATTATGTAACGATGATGTACCTATGTAGTTTGAAGTGTATAATGGTAAAAATAAAGAAATTCATTGCACAGGTAGTTTTAATGGCGAATTTCTCGCCGCCAGAAGTGCTTTTACCAAAAAGTCGTTTTTTCGTTTTTTTTGATCAGAACCATGGACATGAAATTTGCGATAAATTTGTGGCGAAATTATAAATGTTAGACATATGTGCCCATGAGAGAAGTTGCATATTTTTTTGTTGGCTCTCAAATAAAATAAGTCCGCGGCGAAATCTGCCATAATTTTTCGGGAATTCGCAGGAAACCGGAAGGCGTAGTTTTTTTTAATTTTTTTCCTATATGATTTTTTCCGAGTTTTCCGAAAACATCTAACGAAAAAAATATATTTGAAAAATCTAACTTGGCCATCAAAAAAAGCACAAAAAATACACAAAAAGGTATACTTAATTAATCCTAAGCCTGAGTGTAAGTTCCAACTTGGTGATAAGCTTGCTTTTTGTTCTCTAATATCTGGTTTTTAGTTATTTACAAGAAAACTTTAAATGGGAGAAGATATATATGCATGAAAAAAATACGTATTTTCTAGTTACGTTCCGACCTTTTTGAAAAAAATTGCAAAACAATTTTTTCTTAATTTCTCGTACTTTTTTCTAAATTAACTCGGAAACTAATTATCTGAATAGAAAACTGTTTCCATCAGATGATAGAGAAAAAAAAGACACGAAAAACTGTGGCATATACATTTTTTCTAACATCCACTGTTTTCTGAGCGCACGTGTGCGAAGATCAGTAATTCTCGCGAGAATTGAAGCTACACGAATTTTCTGGCAATTGGGAGAGAAAGTAAGCTTGTTTCTCATTAAACTTACTGATTCTAATATATTTTCAGTCTGTAAAGTGCCCAATTTACGGAAAAAATCGACAGTGTGCTTGTTTTTTCTCAAAAAAAAGAGAGAAAATGTTGGATTTAAGAAAAAACTACTCGTTTTACGAGCAATTTTCTAAGCACAAAAAATGCGTAGTTTTCGGTTATATTTCGAATGTCATAAGTCGCATTGCAAATCTGCAATAGTTCACCCTCTGCAAGTGTCTGATGACATAATAAACACAGGCCAGCCATTGCAACCTGGAAACAAAAAATTATAGCACTGTGATAGAATTTTATTAATTTAGGAACGTACTTAATCAATAAATTGCTGAAGAAGTTCGAAAAGCCACGTGTACACAGAGCTTGTTGAACACGGTTATTAAAAATCTATGCCGATGAACACTATCAAGCGATTCAATTTGTAAAAATATGACCGTTTGAAGTTTAAACTTGTCAGATAGCGAACGCCGAGACCATTACTATCCTTGATGCGACGTGCGGCTAATTTGGCGGTAATTCTATATTTTGAACAAAACTCAAGAAACGTCTTATAACAAGTCAGTAAAATACAATTTAATAAATTTTAAGCCTAATAAATTTAGATATGTAAGAAATTTAAAACTGGAAATCGCAAAAAAATCAAATTACAGTAATGTAGTGTATACACGAGTTTTGGATCCCGCAGAGCGCGTGTAATGGGACTTTTGTCGGGAGAATTCTACAACTTAGAAGAAACATACACACTTTAAACTTTTTATACACATTTAGAAGACATGACATTTGGTTTTGCTTAATTTTTAGACCAAAAAACTAAAAATTGTCAATTTTAGGCAACTTTTCTCAAAAACCGTGATTTTTGGTCGTCACTCAATGAACAGTGGTCAAAAAAATAGATAAAATATATTTGCAGAGTTTTCCGTAATGTAATCGTATTCTAGACACAATAGAGTACTCAAAAAAAAAGTTTTGAGCCATTGGGTGCATTTTGGCATTTTTGTGCCACTTCAAACTTTAGAAAAAAAAAAAAAAAATTTTTAAGGAAAAAAATTTATTTAATTCTTTTATATCTTAGCCAATTATGGTTCGATGTAGGTGAAATTCACACACACACATAAGATTTCACATTTAAGAGTAAGCATTAAAAAAATTCAAATAGTTTGGCCGTTATAGGCAAACAATGAAATTAGGACCGCGGTACACTTTGCCCTTCCGCCATATGCCCAATTTTTGGATTTCTCTTGCCCTCTTCTGGAAATAACTAGTCACATCCCTTAAGTTCAAAACGCATTTTGGTTTTTTCAAATATCTTCATTTTTACCAATGTTATGAAGAATTTATTGTTTGAACATTTAACAAATTCAATTTTTCGACCTTCGTCGCCTCAAAATACTAAACAAATTTCAATCGTCCATAACGCGAGAACGGTGCATCGGATCACAATTTCTGAAGAGATATAAAAATTAGCATTTTTCCTAAGCTTTCAATTGTCGTAAACTGCGTTTTAAAAATATTGATTTATTTATGACATGCGCCTGCGCAAAATTGAAAAATTGACAAAATCCAAAATTTCTACATTTTGTTTTGTCTTCTTTCGAAAAGATCACCTCAAAATACATAGAATCCATTTTGTTTTATCTAATTACAATTTAATGTAAGCTCAAAACCCGTAATTTAATTCGATTATACTGCATGATTTTTTATCTTTTTCTCAAAAACATTCGGCATGTCTAAAGAAAATTTAATATGTATCATCATGGAGTACCTAATAATCACAGTACAGATATAAGTATACTATTTACATCTATATAATTGTAGTTTTACAGATTTAGTAGGCTTATCTTAGTTAAATTAATACCTTATAAAATCCTTATACAGTTTTTGTAAAAGTACTTTTAAAAATGTATCCTGTTTAACCGAATCTGTATCTTATGAGGTCCTTTTCTTCTGCATCCTTAAATGAGAGATAACGTATAAGGATGGCAATAGTTTTTGTACATTACTCATTACATCATAAGCCTTTATAAAACCACATTCTTGTAATCATAAGTAGTAAAATAAATTCGATCTAAATCCCCTCCGTGAACAAAGCAAACATGCATAATATTTTAAAATTAGTGACCCAGAATTTAAATAGGATGCTTTATTTCAGTTGCAATTCTACCAAATAAACCACATATGCGAGTTAACATCCTGCCATATGAAACGAAAATAATCACAGAACTTCATAGGAACCAAAAATAGTAGTCATATCCGCGTACCAAACTCACAAGCATACAGAACAGTTTTGAGTTGTAAGTTAAACATAGACGTGTCTAGCTTGGGTTTAATAGGATTTAAAATAATGAAGAATAATCTTTATGTTAGGTTTGCTTAAGACTATAAATTTTATGTATTGATATGAAAAATTACTGTGTGTATAACAAGAGTGGATATGATGGCCATATCTTTTTATTGAATGGAACTTCTGGTTAGGTATTGTTTTTGCACTCAATTTTTTTTTGTATTTGTAGCAAAAAGTGTTGTACTATTTTGTGTTTTCCTGAGCTACATCACTCAACATTTTGGTCAATCCTCTCGTTGTACAGTATGTTTTTTTCTGCGACCCACCATCGAAAATCTACAATTTTTTAGAAGTGATTGAAATAAAATAACTATTTTAATGAAAATTTCACACCTGTAATTTTGAACCAATCAAAATACGTGTTTTTGACAGATCACCATGGCAACGGAGGTATTTTAGTGGAAATTTTTTTCTCGTGGGGTACCCAACAGCGAATTATACTGGAAATTTTTTGACGTTTACAATAACAGACCATTTTTGACAGACTGGTTTTTATTTGTTCACATAATAGGTTTAGTTTTGATACATTTTAGTTACAATGCTAAGGTGTTTTCTATATTCTTCGGCCACTTCTTTTCTTCTTAATGGCGAAAATGCAGGACTTTGGATGCTTTGAATTATGTGTCTATGTCTAATAAAATATATATAATATTTAGACACTAATTTATTCACCTTTTTCCCATTCAGCACTTTGAATTTTGCGTAGTTTAGGTGCAAATATTCGTGGACAATTCGGAACAAATTTTCGTTTTTCAAGTTGG